CCATGTACTAGATTTTTTTTTTTTTTTAAACACTGGCGTTTTGCTTTGACGGTTTATGCAAAATCAGTATTTTTGCCCCTTGCCCTCTTGTTACCATAGTGAAATCATTTTTAAAAACTGCATTCATATTTAAAACCAGCCTCCTATCAACAAATCTGTACTGAAAGCCCAGCTTGCTTCTAGCTCTAATTCTAGTTATTGGACGTGGCTTTAAAGATCTGAAACTCCGTGCGCTTAGAAAATGGAAGACAAGATGACACGAAGGCCCTGCGAAAACGTGGCCAGTGATTACAAATCAGGCAACAGCGTCTTCTGAATAGTAACATATTTATTTAGCGGTTCATAAATGCTTGCGTATAAAAATATTCAACGGTACCCAGAGTAAAGAGAGATCGAAATACGGGGTGCAAATATAGCTGTGCATCTGAAGTTGAGGTTATGTTCTTACTGTTCCTGTTGAAAAACACCTGACAAGTGAATTTCACAGCATTCCAAGAAATTCGCAATCTGAGGTAAAGGTCTCCCAGTATATAAATTGGACAAGGCCAGTGAGACTCTGAACTATTTTTAGGGAGAAGGCATTGAACTCTCTTCTTTCTATCACCAAGCTAAATGTTTCTAGGGATTCTGGGCTCTCTGGTTGGGACATGCCAGACCATCCTCCTGAGTTACAGTGTTCCTGTTTCTCACGTCCTTGTACCAGACAGGGACTCTGGTCTCATCCTGGAGACACACAGCTAACATCCAGAACTGTCTGGGCCACAGGAGGCCGTGCCTGACGGCGGCCGCCGAATTAACGTGGATCTTCACAAACTTGGTACTTCCAGAGTTTAACATCACACTCTGAATTCTGGATCCCACTCAACGACACACTTCTGGATTCAAAGCCTTTCAGTTCCCGAGTTTTATTCCTGAGGCATCTGTTGTAGTTGTTGACTAATTTTCAGTCAGATTCCAACGGACACTGTCACCACGGAAGATTACTGCTTCGACTACATCCTTTATTGTCAGCCAAACGTCTATTTGTGTTGAGCCCAACAGAGATTTGGGAAATCAACCCCAAGCTTAGCAGTGGCTTGTGTCCGATGAGGCCATGAAGTCAGACCCCAGCCTGAAAGGGCTCATTCGAGACTTGATATGAAGGAAGCGGAACCTGCTGGCTTCTTCAGAATGAGACCTCACACAGACGGCTTCCTATTTTGCCTTCAGTAGT